CTCCCAATAGTGTAAAAATAGCATTATCAATATATCTTAAATGATATTTGAATAAATAAAATAAGTAAAAACATTTGCATTTGTTCTTATTAAAATACGAATTAAATGCGCACGATAAAAAAAAATAAATATACAAAATATGTACAAAAAAAAGAAAAAAAGATGATAGCTTTAATGACAAATACATTAAAAAAAATGTAGATATGTTTTGTTAAATTTGTTTTTTTATTATAATTCTCACTAAAAAAAAAATTAATTTTTTTTTTTTTGGTAATGATTTTTCTCATTGTTCTTTTATTAAAAAAAAATATATCTCAAGCAATAAATATTTTCTTTTGGGAACGATAATGTAGAGTATTTTTTTTATGAGAGATTAAAAGCGTAAGGCAAAATGTGACATACATGAGATATTGTGTAAATTAACAACAAAAATATTTAAATGATATAATTAATATTTTATATTAATTAATAAAATTAAATAATTTGCTTAATGTTTTAATTTAATAAAAATAAAATAAGTATAATTTTTTATATATATTCTCTATTAATTTATTCCATACTATCACGATCATTGAACAGGTGTTTTATTAACTGGGTGTTCTGGGACTTTACTATAGTACTGATTTATTAACTGGGTGTTCGGAGACTTTGCTAGAGTACTAAACAAACCAATTAATAAAGAGCATGTAGAGATGACTCTACGATTTTCTTATACTTACGTATATTCTTATATGCTTTGAACGAATGATCTTTAATCATAAACTACTTCGTTCGGCATTCTTTTGCTTCAATAAGTATTTATTTACTTTAATAAATAAATCCTTATTTTATTAAAAATTTAAACACTTATTTAACATTAACTATTAATTGATTATAATTATTAGTTTATTTATTACGAGTTACAATCAGCAATCATTTTGTATTGCTGTCGAATTAACAAAACACAAATACTTATTAAAAATGCAAATAAATTATATGCATATTAATTACATTAATTCAAAATATGAATATTATGCAAATTAAACACTTTACAAAAATATCATTATCTTCTTAAAAAAAAAATCTCTCTCTCTGATTTTTTTCTCTCTCTTCAAAAAAAAATAAATTAAATCTTTTTTTTTTTATTTTTTTTTTTTATCTTTATCTTTTTCGAAAGAAACATTTCTCAAAAAAAAAAATCCAATAATTTTTTTTTTTTTTTTTTTTTTTTTTTTTTAGTTAGCACAACTAACTATGTATTCTCCACATAGCTAGTCCTTTTATAGCCAAAAAGGTTAATGAAGCTTTTTATTAACCAAGTACTGAACAAACCAATTAATAAAGAGCATGTAGAGGTGTCTCTACGATTTTTGTATATTTATATATATTTTTATTTGCTTTGAACGAGTGATCCTTAATTATAATCTACTTCGTTCAGCATTCTTTTATTTCAATAGGCATTTATTTACTTTAATAAAAATCCTTATTTTTATTAAAAATTTAAATACTTATTGAACATAAATTATTAATTAATTATAATTACTAGTTTATTTGTTATGAGTTACATTCAGCAATTAATATATATTGCTGTTGAATTAACAAACATAAACAATTAGTAAAAATGCAAATTAATTATATGAACATTAATTACGTTAAAATTTTATTGTCATATGTATAAAATTTTCTCTCACAAATTAAAAATATATATATTATGCAAATTAAACTCTTTTATATAAACATTTTTATCTGTTTAAAATCTCATTCTTATTGGTACTAAATCTTACTCTCGATTTTTATTTTACCAATATTTTTTTTCTTCTCAATTCAATCATTTTAAAAAAAATAAATATATTTTTTTTCTTACGTATCTCTCTTTTTTTTTTTTTTTTTTTTTTTTTTTCATTTCCGTGTGCACAACCAACTACGTATTCTTCATATAGCTAGTTCTTTTTATTACCAAAAAGGTTAATGAAGCCTTTTATTAACCACGGAATAAGAAAAGTTTAAATATATACCTGAATTAGAACTTAAAAACTATTATAATATTTATAACAGAGATTTTACAACATCATATAAATTACATGATAATGTAGATAATATGGTAAATAAAAAGATACAAAAAGGGATCGGAACTGTAAGATAACTTAGAGAAGATAAAATAAAATAATATCATTATTTTTTCCAAAATAGTGGAGTATAGTCTATAAATGTTATTAATGACCTCTTTTGTATAATATTTCAGTGAATAAATCGAATTAAAACATTTTATTTAGTGCACGCTATGTCACACGAACAATTTTAAATCATAAACTTATACATTAAAATAATTGTTCAAAAAGTATGTGCACTAAAAAAAAAATATATACACATGCACTGAAAGTTAATATACTGAAAAAAAGAAAATAACATTTTTGTTTTTTGCTTGTTTATATGCGATTAAAAAAAAAATATCATATAAATATTTTTTTTTTGACATATTATTCGGACCTAAAAAAAAAATTTTATGAGATTTTTTTGTTAAAAAAATAAAAAAAAATTTTTTTTTTTTGTTATGTTTTATGGACTCCTATAGAGTGTATATTTTTTTTATTTAAAGTTAAAATGTGATATTAGAGAAATTATATTTTGATGTGTCACGTAGATTAACTTTAAAAAAAATTAATTAACTAAAAAATAGTATTTGATGTTGATTAGCAAATATAAAGATTTTTAGATTAAAATATTAATTAAATTGAAATCAAATTAAATAGAGCTTACCTGCTCTTTATTAATTTGTTTACGTGATACTAGTAAAGTTATTGAATAAGATATTAATAAATCACTAGGCGTGCGATAGATAAGTAAAAAAAAAATTTTTTAATTTTATTTCTTTTTATATGATAATAGTGTTCAGTTAAAAGGGGAATTTAAATATTTTTTTTTTAATTTTTTTCTTGGGAAAAGAATAATTGGGAAAATATTCCTTTTCAGAGTAAATTTTGACATTTTTAAAAAAATTTTATGTTTTTAAAAGTAAAATTTTAGTTGCTAATAGTTATTATGATGTTAGTTTGTTTTTTAATATTTAATTAATTTTATTAATTTCAAAGTATTAGATTTAAATTTATAAGCATTATTCGTGAAATTATAATTAAAAGAGTTTGTATTTAAAAATCGATAGCTAATATAAATTTATGTTTTTAATAAAAAACAAAGTGATTTTTATTAAAATAAATAAAATATTTTAAAAATCAAGAAATTTTCATTGGAGTAAACTATAAAAATTAAATTCTCTTGCTTATTACAATAATATAATATTATAGCCAATTATACGAGTAGAAGTAACTCTACATCTCCTTAACTTCTTTGTTCGATATTTTAGAAAAATTTTTGAGCGTACAGCTAATTAATAAGAGAGAATTTTTTTATAGATTAATATTACATATATATATGGAGATAACACATAAAATTTTAATTATTTTTGTTATTTGAAGACTATATGAGTAATTAAGGATAAAAAGAGATAAATATATCATTTAGATGAATCCCTTTTTTGATGAAACACAAAAAAAATATATATTATAAAATGTTTATAGGTAATGGAAATTTAGTTTTAATGAAGCTAAGTAATAGTTCTTAAACCACATAAACATTTTCATAAATTATTAATATACAAACATTAAAATATTGATTTAATATAAAATTAATTGAAGTATTTAATTTTAATGTAAAATAAAATGCTTAATTTGAGTAATATATCCTAATTCTATAAAATTATATATTTAATTATAGTAAATAATTTATTAATATGTAAAATAAATAGTGATTATTACACATATTCTCTATTTAACTATTCAATATATTACAAATATATTTAAGAAGGTAATTAGTAAATCTGGCACTTTAGTTAAAAGTATAAATTAAAAACAAGAGTTGAATATTAACAAAAAATTATGTGTAAGCACTATATATTTATATAAATGCAAAATTTTTCATATATTATGTTCACTGATTTAAATAAAATAGTATATATTATAAATATCTAAATAATGAATTAAAATTAGAATAAAAGAAGTATAATGTCAAATTAATGTAGAATATTTTAATTTTTTTATAACCTTAATTATGATATCACTTTTTCTTAAGTATATAAATTTAAGTATCATGCATATATATACTTAATTATTCATATATATCCAACAAATATGAATTTATTACAATAAAAAAATATATAAATTAATTTTTATTTATTTCATTAATGTAAAAAAGATATAATTAAAAAAAACTAAAATAAAATAAAGAATTTTATGAAATTTTTTTTTAACGTTAAAAATTTACTAATAAAAAAAAAAGAAGAAATATTTTGTAAATTATGTAAATAATAACAGGAATTCTTCACAAAAACCTTAAAAAATATTTGAATTAATAACAAAAAATTTATAACAAAAATAAAATACTTTTTATTCTAAAAAGGCCATATAATTCACTTATAGGTTAATATTTATACCACTTCTGTTATATGTGTATATATTGGATTATAATTTAATATATTATTCTTTTTGTATATTCGAACAGAAATTAAGCTAAAGTTAATTACTACTATTAAACTTGTCATTTTTAATTCAGTAGTTTTATACAGATATGTAACTTAATTCATGTGAATCAGTAATATCATTACTTATATTTTTTAAATGCTTTATCATGGGTATTCAATGTATTTATTTATAATAATCTTTTGCTTAAAAAAAATTCCATTATTTATACTAAAAAAAACCTGTATCCATATAAAAGAAATTAATTTTTATTTCTCATGATCTTTTAGAATACTGGAAATTCCAAAAAAATTACCATAGGAAAAATTCCTTCTTACTCTGATAAGAAAAATAATATAAATTTTTTTCTTTTCAGTTATACAATAATATATTAAGTTAAACTATTAAAATTTTCTCCTAAATATCCTGCATAAATGGTTAACTTTTTATTTTATATTATTTTGCCATTTCAATTATGTAGAAACATTAATATCTTTATATATTATTGTATTATTTCAATTTTTCTATGCTAAATTTATTCATTAGTTCAGTAGCTTGAATTAGGTAGTATAAAATTTGTTGACTGCTATTGATTTCTTCAGTTTCATCATCGTCACTGATACTTTTTTTTTTAATAATTTCTCTGAGTTTTTCAAGAATATGTAAAAGTTCATTAGTTTTATTTTTAGCAAATTTTATTAAATTTGGAAAATAAAATATGTTTTTTTTTAAAGAATTAAATAAAGTGATATACTGTATATTTAATTCAATTATTCTCAAAATATTTTTAAAATTTTCCATTTTTGAAAGCTTATAATTCATATAGTCACGTTCTGACATATTTTTTTTTGTATAATACTTAAATATTGGTGAATTAAGTATTTTGGCGATATTATTCAATAGATTATGCATATATGTAAAAGAAAACATTTTCATAAGATTATTATGTAAATTTTTTACCTTTGCTTTCTCTTTACTTATCAATAGTGAACCTAAATGTGTATTATTTAAATTAAGTTCATCACCATTTATGTGAAAAATTTCAGAGGTTCTTTGCTTAAAATCTGATATACGATTTCTTTCTTTTGACAAAATTTCATTAAAAACTTTTATATCACCACATACATAATGATTATCTATAATATTTTTTGCACAATTTGTATTCAATGTATTTGTTTCAGAAAGAAAATGAAAAATAGTTTGTACTTTTATCTTATGATCTCTATCTGATAAATTCAAACTTTTCACAATTTCAAAACATTTATCTGCTATACGATAAAATGAATTTAAATTTAATCTAAGAGAACGTATATGTTCTCTAATAATTTTCACTTTAGATTTATCCAAAAAAAAGTAACTACATTGATGTGATTTTTCTATACAACTTATTAAATCATTAGTTCCTTTTAAAATTTTCTTAAACAAATATTTATTTTTTGATGATGGATTTAAAAAATTAGTAGAAAGTAATTTAGTGTACATCATGTTATCTACAAAATTTAATATTAATTTGCTTCCTTTGTTAAAAGAATTAAGTTCCCTCAGGAAGATTCGTAAATATAATATAAGATTGAGTAATTCTTCTGTTACTTTTTTATTAGTCAATTTTACAACAAGTGTATCTAGTTCACGGTTAATATTTATTTTTTCTGTATTTTCTTCTTTATTTTTAAATATATTATCGTACTGCAGCTTCAAGTTATCCAAATAATCTTGATTAATATCTTTTAATTCTCCTTCTATAAAAATTTTGAACGGATTGCTATTAAGGTTGATTTTTTCCACAATCATATTATATTTCATTTTTAAGTCATTGTATATAGTTTGCATATCAGGAATGATATTCGTTTCAAATTCTTCAAGACTAACTGTAAAAACATTTTTTAAAATAAATAAACAAAATCTTCTAATGTAATAGCCATTATCATTTTTTACATTAGCCATAACATGACTTGAAGTACTCATTTTAGTGCAATCAGAATTATCTTCTGAACTATTTGTATCATTGAGTTTTTTCTTCTTTTTTCGCCTTATTACTTCTTTTTTTTTTTCATGTGATAATTTATTTTTCTCTTCATAATAATTCAAGTTTGAACTACAACTAAATATAAAAAATATTATGCATATATATAATTTTTATTTTTAATAAAATAATTTGTGTGGAAAAATAAAAAATATATACCTTACTATGTGTGAACCACTAGATACCTCCTGTAAACTACTATTGGATTTTTCCGGGATAGTAGGTGGGTATTGTATGTAATAAGGTATATTCTGCAAATTGATATATGTATATTGTAAATTAGGTGTAAAATATTGTAAGTTAAAATTTATATTTGGAAAACCACAATCCCTATCTTTAGAAATAGGAAACGTGTTTTCTAAATTTATGTTATTAGGTTCTGAGTTATGTATTATTCTTGAAATATTAGAATTTTTATTTTTCGAATTAGAAGAAGCATTCTCATAATTAGAAATATTATTTTTTATATTAGATGTTACACCTGATAAATTATTTGTGCTATATTGTGAATTATTTTCCATATCTTGTAAATCAAAATTCATATTTGTAGAATCAAATATTGTATCCGGAAGAATTGAAAGCACATCATCTAAATTAATTTCATTCAATTCTGAATCACATTCTGTATTGTGCAAAACAGAACTCATATATTTAGTATCAGAAGAAGATTTTTCTAAATAAGAAGTATTAGTTTCTAAACAATATGATGCATCTGATAAATTAGCTGTATTGTAATCTGAATTATTTTCTATATTTTGAGAGTTAAATGCACTATTTTCAAAAGAAGGAACCATATTTTGGAAATGAGTAGTTCCATATTCTGGATAAGTTTCTACATAATGTGAAATAGAATTTGTATTTTCCAAATCAGAAGAATTATTTTTTAAATAAGGAATAGAATTCTGTGAATTAGGAGTATTGACTGTTAAATTATTTGTGTTGTATTGTGAATTATTTTCCACATCTTGTAAATCAAAATTCATATCTTGTATATCAAAATTCATATCTTGTAAATCAAAATTCATATCTTGTAAATCAAAATTCATATCTTGTAAATCAAAATTCATATCTGTAGAATCAAAATTCATATCTTGTAAATCAAAATTCATATCTGTAGAATCAAATATTTTATCTGGAAAAATTGAAAGCAAATCATCTAAATTAATTGTATCAAATTCTGAATGACATTCTGTATTGTGTAGAACAGAACTCATATATTTAGGGTCTGAAGAAGATTTTTCTAAATCAGAAGTATTAGTTTCTAAACAATATGATGCATCTGATAAATTAGCTGTATTGCAATCTGAATTATGTGACGTGGAATTTGAAGGATTGGAAGGACTATTTAAATGAAGTAACAAATTAATATTTGCATTTTCTTTTATTTCATCTTTTGAAATAGATAATTTATCTTCATTGTCAGTAGTATATCTGAAAATAATAATGAATATATGTATATATATATATTTATAAATATAATGTTTAGTTGAAATATGTTTTTTTTAAATTGAATAGTAAAGAAAATATATATACATTTTTAGATGGAAATTCTCTTCATCATTTTCAAGTTCTTGTGAAGTATATATTCTTTTTATAACAACATATTGAAAAAATAATAAGAGAAAGTTAATATGTAGCATTCTCTTCATATTTATAAAGACTATGCACACAAATTAAATAAGAAAAACTCAAAAAAATGTTTGTCTTCATTCATATATATAGTAAGCTTATTTTCTTCTATATTGACGTTCAATATTATTAAGATAATTTTAGTGAAACTTTTTATTATCAGGCATGTTATAACACTAAGAAAGGACAATATCTCCAAATATTTTCTTTTAAAACATTACTTCTTTTTTTTTTTTTTTACATAAATTATTAATTATTTAAATTATAAAAAATTGTGCTTTCTTTGAAAAACTCACAAGCATAGTTATCTAATTATTATTTTTCTTCATTATTTTAATTTTCATATTAATATAAAAAATTAACCATTTTGTTAATAAGAAAAATTACATAAATCACTTTTATAATATTTATGGATATAAAACATAATATACATAATTGTTATTATAACATGAGTAAAATAGGATAATCTTTATTACTCAATATTTTAATAATCTTTTTCATTATTTTAATATTCAACGATTTTTATTTAAATATACTGCTCTTCATAAATCTAACTCTAGAAATTTTTCAAAATTATCAATTTTAAGTTCTTATTTTTCAATTTAATATTTATTAAATATCTATTTTATATGATTTACCTGTTAATTTATGCTATAACATATAAATTCTATATAATTTAAAAAATATAAAATTTATAAATTTTCAATTAAAAAATTCATTAATATTTACCCCAAAATGTACGCATGTGATATGACCTGATATTGAAATTGCTTCAATTCGGAAGTTAAATTTAAAATTCGTTATTTTAATACATGCAATAACTATTTAAAAAAAAAGCTATTTTTTTTATTTAAATAATATTACTTAAAGATATTAAAATAAAATTTTTTCTTCTTAATTTTTTAAAATTTTTTTAAAACAGTAAAAAAATTTCATATGATTATAATATAAATGAAATTAACATATAATTTATTTAAAATTAGGATAATGAAAAATTAAAGTATAAGATATAAAATCGAACTAACGAAATGAGCAAAAAAAAAAAAAAAAAATGAATGAAATCAATAAAAAAAATTAAAAATTGAAAATAATACCATAAACATAAAATATTTCAATTTGCAACATTCTTCGTTTTTTATAAAATTGATCTTTAATTCTTCGAATATATTTAAATATAAAATACTAAAATTTTACACAAAAAAAAATTTTTAATATTTGAAAATAAGAAAATAAAATAAATAGAATTATATAAATTTATTTTAGATGAAAAAATGTGCTTAAAGTAATTTATGAATAAATGAAGAAAATTATTAAAAATTAATATGTATGCTATATAATGTTTTGAATACCTTAAATTGTATATTATCATGTTCATTATTAACATTATAATATAAATAAAAATACATTTACACGAAATTAATTAAGGAGAACCAGTAAAAATACAAATTAATTTACGTTTCCCTTTTTATAAGAATATTTTACTTCCTTTTTGTTAATGAAGAAATATTACAACATATATTAGCAATTGTATTTTATATTTGGTATTGCAGTAATTTATTATATGTTCAAATACGTTTAACGTATATGGAACAGTTAAAGAATACATATAATTTAAATTAATTTTACTATTTTTCAAATATTTATTATAAGTAATATGAAATCTTTGTTTATTTACACTACGTAGATGATATAATTATTCATTTCTAAGTGGCTTTTATAATTCTTTTACTGAAAAATATTAACTCATTATTTTATCATTTTTAATACATCAAATGATTTATAAAACACTCGTATAGTTTAGTAGAAATATATACTCTTATTTATATTTAAATAATTGATGTCTATAAAAATCCGATAATATAATATATATATTATCTTCCATTAAAAATTAATTCTTGTAAATTATAAAAATTTATTTCTTTGTATCATAAATAATTCACTAATTTATCATTTATTAAAAATAAAATTTAATGCTCCTATCTAATGTATATGTAAATCACGTGAAATAAATAAAAGGAATTTTTTTTAATGTTCTAAATTTTCTTGGCTTAATTTAAGTGATGTATTCTTAGTATACTTATTTTTTAATATAATTGGCGTTTTCATATAAACGGTTTCTCTATTCTCTTTCATTCTATTCGATATTAAAAAGATTGATAATATTCTTTATAGTTCATGTGTCTAAAAAAAACAACCATTCATTTTACGTTTTGAATAAACTAACTTAAATATTATAAAATAAAAAAAAATTCTTAATTTTCCAATTACACAATAACATATCAAATTTCTTTTCAAAAGTTTTTATGAGTTCGGAATTTAATAAGTCTTAAATTATCTCATAAGTTCCTAGTTAACTATATATCATTAACATAACACTGAATAGGCACTTAATATGTAGAACATAATATCTTTAATAAACATATTTACTTCAATATCCTTATAACACATTTCTAGTCAGATATTCACATGTTTATCTATTAAAAATTTTTATCAAAGTTCTATCCTTTTTTTAAGAAAAATTTTCCAAATAAAGTTGTACATCTTTTTTATTTTAAAAATATATTTTTTGACTCAATTATTTTCTTCTTATTAAATAAACGAGAATATATATTATCCAATAAAAATAATTCATTAAAAAAAAAAATATGAAAAAAAGAGTAACATTTTCTATTTTTAATTTTGTTTAATATGCATTTTTGTAAGAAATTCATATATTTACTGGATATTTTTTATTCTACTATTCGTCGAAAAATTATTATATATTAAAAAGTTAATCCATTTTATTAATCCTAAAAATACATTGTTAACCCTTATGAGAATAAAAAATTAATAATTATATAAAAAATATTTAGTCATCCATGCAAAAACTAAGCAGATAAAAAAAAGAAAATATATATTTTTTTTTTAAATTGATACTGAGAATTTTTATAACTGATGGAAAAAATAATTTCTTTCATGTAAATTTTATTGGAAATTTTAAGGAAAATTTTATATTTTTAAAAATGAAATCTTCGTGTTTATTGTGTTTATATAATATAAATTTACGTTTAAATAATTACATATTTTTGTTAACTTAAAGCCAATGTTTTGGAATGGATGGACATCATTCATAACAAAATAAAGAAAATATATCTAATTATAATTTGATAATTAATGAAAATTTTAATTTTTAGTAAAAATAAGGATTTTTACTAAAATAAATAAATACTTCTTTAAAATAATGAATTCTCAATGAATTAGGCTACATAAAGACTCTTTACCAATCTGAAGAATTTTAAATTATACTTAAACTCATTAACCTAGCAGAGGTAACTCTACATACTCTATATTAATATGTTTGTTCTATACATGATTTATTAATTTGCTATTTATTTATCTTACTATAGTATTGTTTTGTTAACTGGCTGTTCGGTGACTGCTAGAATACTGAATAAACAAATTAGTAAAGAACATATAGAGTTGCCTCTACGGTTTTGATGTATTTATATATATTTTTAAATGCTTTGAACGAGTGATTCTTAATTATGTGATCTACTTCGTTCAGCACTCTTTAATTTCAATAGGCATTTATTTACTTTAATAAAAATCCTTATTTTTATTAAAAATTTAAATCCTTATTGAACATTGATTATTAATTAATTGTAAATTAATTGTTTATTTGTTATGAGTTACATTCAGCAATTATCATATATTGCTGTTGAATTAACAAACATAAACAATTGTTGACAATACAAAAAAATAATATATATAAATATTAATTATATGAAAATTTTATTGTTACTGGTATAAAATTTTCTCTTACAAAATTCATCAAAATCATATTTCATTCCAAAAAAAAAAATCTTTTTTTTTTTATTTTTTTTTTTTATTTATTGGTAACAAATCTTTTTCCAATTGATTTTTTTTTTATCAATTTTTTTTCCTGACCATCTTTGCATTTTTTTTTTTATCAATTTTTTTTTCTGATTATCTTTGTATTTTTTTTTTAAAAAAAAAGTACAAACAGAAAAAAAAATTGATCATTTTTTTTTTTTTTTGTGTGTGCATGACCAACTTCGTATTCTTCATTTAACTAGTCCTTTTATTTTCCAAAAAGGTTAATAAAGCCTTTTATTAACCAAGTATAGAACAAACATATTAACAAAGAACACGTAGAGTTGTATCTACTAATTTAATGAATTCAAGTTTAGTTTGAATTCTATAAATTAGTAAACTGTGTTCATATTGTCTACTTTGAGAATTTATATACTTTAATAAAAATCCTATTTTTTTATTAAAAATTTAAATTCTCCTTAATTGTAGATTTTAATTATATGTATTTTATTTACAAAGTTGTGAGTGTTGTTTGATAGTTCAATTCCATTACTCTTAAATTAACAAACATAAATAACTAACAAAATAGAAAATAAATTATATAAGTTCTGCAAAACATGGAAATTATGATATTGTTAATATAAAATTTTCTTATATATATTTAAACATAAATGTACTACAAGCAACTTATTAGTCAACAACTTTTCTATTTTTCCAACAATTAAATCACTTTTAAAAAAGAACAAATATATGTTTTTTTACTTATTTAAATTACAAAAAGAAAACAAAAAAAATTAACTATTTTTTTTTTTATCTAGAGCTTATATGTCTAGCTATATGTTTTCCATACATGTATTAATTTTTTTATTCACAAAAAAATCAATAATTTCTTTTAATGACAAAATATCTATAATAAATAATTTTATAATAAATAAAATTAGTATAATCACTTTACATGCTCTTTATTAATCTTTCAATATATACTATAAAATTATTTGAAAGCTTAATTAATAAATCAATTTATAAAAAGTGGCATAAAAACAGAGAACTAATATTACTAGAACAATGAAAAAAAATAAAATTGAAAAACAATATTTATAAATAAAAAATATAAAATTAAAAAAATTATCAAAACTAAAATAAATATGTAATACCAAAAAAGTAGTATTAATCAATTCAATAATTTGTTTACAATATA